AATAATTCTTTGTTASTAAGGTCTATTCGGCTCTTTAAGAGAATGAGGCCTGTTATTTTCTAGGCTGCCATTGAACTAGGGACTGGGGGCCACCAATAGGGAAAGTCAAAAATGCCACAGAGTTCACTGTACTTCCCAAGATTCAGACTATTTTTCTTCGTTAAGCATTGCCTGATTGTTCTACATATTTTATTAGCTTCCAGAGCATGAAAACATCAATTCTGACACTCTCTGCCAGTTTTTTGTTGTTTTTGTGGAAAGATAGACTTCTGGAGTTTCTTCCTGGGCTGTGTTCACTGATGCCTCCCTCTCTTCTTTCTTGGAACCACATTTGAATCTACAATCATCTCAAAATAAAAAGACTAATTTCTTTAAAAGTCAAATCGCAGTAAAGTGTTCTGACAAGGCTTTTGCCATCCTGTACCTCCTCATTCTGCAGTCCTTGTCACCAAAAGCAGTCCCTCTTCCTCGTATTTTTTTTTAAATATCAGTTTTGTATATCAATAAATGACACATTCTATTATTGTAGGTAAGCATTTAAGTTTCTTCCCATACCATCCCCTTGGMTTCCCCACCAATTCTCCCAATATAATAATATTACAACTGTAATTGAATTGGTATTTAGTGTGCAGATTATATATTCACAGATGATCACTTGCTCTGTGGCTCATTTCTGGTTTTTTGAAGTTAATGTGTGGTGGTTTTTTTTTTTTCATTTTCTTAGTTTTCTTTTGTATTTTCAAATTCTTACCAAACTTTCTACTGCAATTTCCATTATATCTTTCCACATCAGGTAACTTATCAATTCCAATTGATAAKTTGGAATTGATAAATTCCAGAGAGTCCTCTCTCTCTCTCCTCTCTGACCTGCTGTTCTCTCAGTCTTTGGGATAGCTATCACCTGGATTTTTCCTTTAATGTAATTCTCAGAATTTCCTTGTCTTTGTCCTAATTGGATTCCCTCATCCTGTTTCAAGGTTTACTCATTTGTTCCTGTCCAAAAATCTGGTGCACAAGTTATTGATTGATTGATTGATTGTACAGGGGATTAAACCCAGGGGGACATAACCTCTGAGCCACATTCCCGTTGCTGAGGCTGGCCTTGAAGTTTTGACCTCCTGCCTCTCAGTCATGAGCCTCTGGGATTACAAACACCCTGTGGAGCACAAGTTTTATCTGTCAACTGTAACTTAATAAAGCTGAAGTATTTTTTAATTGGTACAATGTTGAGTGGATTAAGGATACAGGCATTTTACCTTCCAGTCTCCTCAGACAAATTCAATCATAACTGGTTGCCTTTTACACCTGGGATGCCAGTCTTCCTGACAGATTCTTACATCCTAAATATTCCTGGCAGAAATTTTTGAGACTCTGTGTTTGAAAATGTCTTTGGCCACCATGACACTTGACTGACAGCATAGAATTCCATTATGGTCACACTTTCCTCCAGCTAGCTGTCCCTTGAACATGACAGACAGTTTTCTTCCTTTGCCATTCTCGTTTGCATTTGCTGCCTGACTAACTTCTTCACCAACCTCAAGTCTGTGCTCAAATATTACCATCTCAGTGACTACCCTCTGTAAAATCACAAGCCCTGGCACTTCCATCTCCTTTCCCACTTTTATTTCCATAGCACCTATCACCATCTGGCATGCTATGTATTTTCCTTTGCCTTTTTTTTTTCCTGTCTTTCTCCACTAGACAGTAAACACTGGGGCCAGAAACTTTTTTGTGTTCACTCATGTATCCCAGCACCTGTATATAGCAGGCTATCCATATCTATTCATTGAACAGACTAATAATAAACACTTCTTTTCTATTTTCTATAATGTGCTAAAAAAGGACTATAACTTATAATTATCATATATAACATATATTTGCTATGATAAATAAAAATGGATGTGTTTGACATAAATTAACTTACTGGACATACCACTTGAAGATCTAAAAGAGATCAGATTTGTTTTTAACATGAAATAGGCAAGCACTTGATGCTTATGGTTCACGGTGTATATGTGACCCTTTCTAGCAGCATGTAAAGTAGCCTTGGTTCTGAGCTTCTAMGTCATACGCTGCTCACCTTTTACCTCTCTTCTGGCCACTAGGGCTTCAGGAACTCTCAAGCACTCTGTGCTAGGCCCATCTTCTGTTGCTGGCTTCTCTCACTTTGGGCTTCATTTCACCTACTTTAGGTTGGATCATTTCACCTGTGGTCTAGGCTTTGGACAGACCTTCTGCCTAGAAAGTGACCAAAATAGCCATTTCCTCTATGTCTAGTAGCCAGGTTTATCACTGGTGTCCCCACCATGCACACATACAAAACCCACCCTCCACACCTTACAGGAACCCCACACACTTCAGCATAACAGTTATTTTATTTTTTATTTTTATTGTTAATATTTCATGAGATAAATGGCACTGGCTTTTAGTAATTGACTTTCCCATTATAATGTATAAAACTTAATGGTGGAGGGCTGGGGTCATGGCTCAGTGGTAGAGCACTCACCTAGAGTGTGTGAGGCACTAGGTTTGATTCTCAGCACCACATATAAATAAATTAATTAAATAAAGGTGCATTGACAACTAAAAATTATTTTTAAAAGAACAATGTTGAAAAAACCTGTATCACTGTCATGTCTCATTTTTACATAAGAAYCAAATAAAAACATTTTTAAAATATACTTGTAATACACCACTTAAGTGGTGGTACAGTCTGAATAACTTTTTTCCCCAAAAAAATTGCCTATTGTCTTAAGAGGTTTAATCTTGAGCCAAGAGAGAATAGGAGTCTTTTAAAAATACATTTAAATGGAGCTGCTAGATCCAGCAGAATAAAATACAAGATATCCAGTTAAAAATGAATTTCATATAAACAAAAAAAAATAATTTTAACAGATCTGTGTTTCAACACATTATATTTTATATTTTATCAAGCAACCCTACATTTAAACAGCCAACTGTTGCATCCATGAAATCATTTGGTTAGGTTTGTAGTGAATGTAAAGGATTAATATTAAGATGCCACAAAGGGAGAYGGTTAGAAATTCACTGACTGATGCCATGATGCAGCAGCCTATTTTAAGCTGGTTAAAGTGAGAAAGGTGTGAGTAATGAGATGCTGGCCCAAGAGCAGAATGAAGACATTCATCATTGTGCTTCTTGCCTCAGATTTCTCGACCCTTATCATCTGCAGGGGCACAGAGATCGCATCCTAGGAACACAGATTCAAATGCATTTCCCATGTTGCAAAGAAATCAAATCAAACCATAGATAGCACTGGAAGCCTTTCAGTCATTCATCCCAGATTTTTCTGTTACTTTCTTAGCTTAAATCATCATAAGAAAATGCCATGTTCTGGGTAGATTAAATAAAATAAATTTATTTTTTACTGTCCTGGTGTTCAGGAAGTCCAAGATGGAGATGCTGGCAGATTTGGTTCTTAATGAGAGTTCTGGTTTGCAGATGGATGCCTTCTTGCTATATCCTCAAATGGCAGAAAGAGAGATTATCTCTCTCACATCTTTTCTTATAAAGTCATTAAGCCCAATCCCATTCATGAGGATTTCACTATCATGACCTCGTTTTCTCCCAAAGGCCCCATTTCCAAGTACCATCATATTGGGGATTACAGCTTCACCATATGAATCTGAAGGGACACAAACTTTCAGTCCACAGCAACGGAAATTTGAATAAACCCTAGGTGTATATACACAGAGATCTTGGCTGCTAGGAAATATTATTTCTGACATTTGAGTAAATTATTGGTAGATACAACTAGGCACCCTCCACAGTCAAGAGAAAAGAAGGTGCTTCTCTGAAATCGGGGCATAACTCACCAATAGCCAGGTTTCATTTTAAGAAAGTAATAAAACTAACATGATTTTACCTTTCAGAGCTGTTTATCACTCAGAGTTTCAGTTTTGGTGATTGCACTGTAGTAAATTAGCTGACTGTGAGTCCAAAGATTCTATCTTCATCCAGACAGTCCATTCATCATACTTAGCATTTGGATTTCAGCAGAGCTTTCCCACATATTTGCCAAAATGCCAACTGAAGTAATCACAGAAAGCTTCATGTTTTGTGCATCTAATACTTAAATATCATCAGTGGCTTTGGATTTAGGTTTATTGGACTATTTTAATAATGCTTCTTTTTATCAAAATTTTAATATGGCCACTTTCTTAGTTAATAAGTACTTTTTAAATTTTGATTTCATACCAAAAATGGAGTGAACTTTAGTAGTTTAATGTATACTTGACCCAAGAATGCTATACAAAGTGGTGGTAGAAATTATCAGGGCTTGATAATGTAAAAGTGGCAAAGGTTTTAAACATTATCAAATATTTATCAAGTTTTATGGTCACTATAAGATTCAAATTATATGTCACTCACATCTTTATACTCTCAATACAAGTGTTGCAAATTGGCAAGCTATTCAATTAGGTTATCCCGTTTTAGGAAAGAATAATTCAATTTTAAGTGGTAAAAGTACCAAACTGTGATGATTAAATCCAAAAAATTCAGTTACATAAAATGCATTATTGGAAGATGAATAAAATTTCTAGGCCAAAACTGTGCAGCTAGTTATCTAGAAGTTCCAAATGAGGTGATGTTATTTGAATGCCATCTGTGGTTTGGGATCTAAATATATTCCAGTGGCAAATTAGTCAGTTTGTATTACCTGATCCTCGTGGGCACGATCGGACCAGGCACAAATTCCAGAAATTTCAGTTAACTGGTATGTTTTTAGTCTCATATATCTAGATGACTGGGCCCAAATAAAATGAATAGAAGGACCCACCCTTTGTCTTCCTAGGTTGGATACAGCACTGCCTGCCCTTCCTAACCAATCTCTCTCTTTTTAAAGTATGACTATTAAAATGATCAATGAAAATATCATATCTTATTTTATTAATTAAGCCTTACTTTTTTTTTTCATCTTCTCCTCTTTGGAAAATACTTGGACATAATGGAATTGGTCTCAGGAGATTCCTCCACAGACAGTTCTTGGTCTCCACCTGAAATGGCCTCTGCCTCCCTGTCAGAAACACCACCTTTCTTTACGGCATCAAGCATCTTCTCTCTGACTGATCCAAGCACCACAGACATAACGTCTATTGACCAGACACTACTAGGTCCAGGGCTCACTCTCCCCACCAGTGATTATTCTACCATCAGCCAGTTAGCTTTGGAAATTTCACATTCGTCTGCATCTTCAGATGGCAGCAGGTTGAGTACAAGCAGCGAAGATGTGATCAGAGACCTAGAAGAAATTGATGGGTCTGACAATTTTGTATCATCAGAGGTACCAGGACTGAGTGGATATGTTTCTACCCCAGATCATCTCTTGGAGAGCACCACTCCCGACCCTACTTTACAATATATCACCACTAGCTCCATGACCTTTGCCACCAAAGGCCAAGAGCTGGTAGTATTCTTCAGTCTGCGTGTTGCTAACATGCCTTTCTCCAGTAATCTGTTCAACAAGAGCTCCGTGGAGTACCAAGCTCTGGAGCAGCGGTTCACACAGCTGGTGAGTGGACACTGCTTATTTTTCTCAGCCCTCTGTGTCTCTTCTTTCCTTTTTATGGTTGTTTTTATAACTTTACAGGAAAACCATTGGCTATATGGAGAAATGCAGGTTAGGTGAGAAACCTGGGAAACAGCTGCTGCTGAAGGCATTCAGCTGGAGTTTTGAGATTGGTTTGTGTTGATTGTGGGAATGAGTGCAAGGATGGACACTCAGGGAAGACACAGCCACCCAATTTCATGGAAACATATTTACCTTTAAATCTCCTCTTTATAGTTCTTCCTAAATTATTTTATTCAGAAATAATTCTCAAGTACTAAACTTGGAATCTAAAAATAGTATGGGTAAACTTTTCCTGAGTTGCAGTCTCTAATGGAAGAATAGAAAGCAATGCTGGTCCAGCACAGATGACCAGAGAGTTCAGGTAGATAGGCTCCTCTTTTAGGTCCCTTAAGTTCTTGTAAACTTAAAAAGTGACTAAAGACTTATCATCCCTGACCCCTATCAAAGAAAGTGAGAAGATAATCATGATGACATATATCTTTGATAGTAAACATCTCCAAACTCACATTTATTTTATTTCTACAAGTAAAATAAGAAATGCTAAAGTAGATAGTACCTCTACACAGTCAAGGCCAATTACAGTTATACAATTTTACCACACAGATTGAAATTTTCTGACAATAATAGAGAAGCTATGTGTATACTTCATATAAGTTAAATTATTGTACAAATGAAAATCCACATAAAATCCAATTTCTCAGGTGAACATTTGCTTTAGAAAAAGATTGCTTGTGCCATTGCCCCCCCACACACACACACACACACCATGAAATGAATAGACACTGGGACAGTTTCAGGAAAAAGAGTCCCTGTGAACCTAGTCCAGATGTCTTACTAAGCTGCCATATGAAAAAAAAAATCAAGAATACAGTGACTTTTAAATTAGATCCAAGGTTATTTCTCTTTCACTTGATGGATGAGACAGCTGCTCTAAAACATTTCTTCATCTGTAGTTCTGCCAATGCCAGGGATGTTTCCTCATTTGCCTAGTCAAAGTTGGAGTGTGGGAATATTCCTGTTTCCAGAGGAGATTCCAGATGGCAGCTTAGAGGAAGACTGTGTTTCCAGTTGTTCAACAGCTCAGGATTTAAGAATCAGGAGTAATGACACATCCCTTTTTTCACTTGTAAGAAGGGGAAAGAGAAGGAGCTGAGGGAAAGCAATATCCTCATCAGCAGGTGATACCAAAGTGGCCCACATCACTTCCACTCAGATTCTGTCAGTAGGAACTAGGCACATGGTCACACTGGATGCAAGAGAGGCTGAAAAATGTGATCTCTAATGAGCCAGCTTCTTTCCCATTAAGAGTAGAGAATTTGGACTTGGGAGAAGGGACAGCTAGCCATCTGCACACTACACGAAAACAGATGACTCCTAGTAAAGACCAAAAGAATGCTAACACATAAAGAATGAGTTCAAAGTAAGTAGGAGAAATCAAGCAGAGTGCATTGAAAAAGTTGCAACCATATATAAAAGATTATTTTCTTTTTACAGTGAGGGAGGTACCACAATGTGGGTCAGGTTCAGAGCCAAAATTTTGATGGGATCGGGTAATTATCAGGTATGGGCCAAGCCTAGGAGAATGAAGTTTGCATCTTTGCACTCTCTAGATTCAGATGGAGGTATGCAGTTCATGATAAGGCAGCTCACTTATGAGGCCAGAGACAAGTTTGACTTCACAAAGTTTCAAATGTTTCTGAAAAATGATTTCAAAGATGGCCATGACTCACAAGAGGCAAATGAGAGAACCTGAAGCACAATGCCCTGAGGCGTACTTTTGAGATTATTAAATTATAGTTTATAAAGGGGTCCCTAGGGCAACATTTTTTGTTCTCCCTTTTTATCTCCAATTCAGATAAGGGCACTGAGGTTCCGCACAGTGGTTATGTGGCTTGATGAAGGTCACACAGCTAGGTACGKAACATTCCAGGACTGGCACCCACATTTCCTGGCTGCCAGTTCTCTACTAATTCCTCTCRTTACATTTGTTTTGGCCCTGAAACATATACTGCATAGACAGACACATTGTTATTGAAGCTGTTGTTGATTTCAATAGGTCATTTCCAACTAGTTGCTTCCAGATTGCTGTCCCATTTATACAGGAGTAGGTCAGTTTGCTCCTTGGCTCAGTTTGGAACATGTTTTTAATTACTTTAATTACTTTTAATTACTTCTTGTTTTATTAAAAACCTGGCATGCAAGTTGATAACATTGGCTTGGATTTTTTAAAATCATCTGTTCTCACATTTCATTGTGAAGAAATCATTACCCATCCATCAAAATACAAAGAAAGATGGAAATATGMGACATCATTACTGCAGACAGGTCATTAAGTAGTGGTGTTCTGGCCTCACATTAAACAAAAATAAAAACAATAAAAAGCCATTGAAATATATGTTTCGGGTAATGAAAGGGAGCACAAATGGAATTAGCAGCAGCTGAACACTTGGAACATGGTTAAGAGTAAACCATCTTTTATTTTGCAGCTGGTTCCGTATCTGCAATCTAATCTTACAGGATTTAAGCAACTTGAAATACTTAGCTTCAGAAATGGGAGTGTGATCGTGAACAGCAAGGTGAGGTTTGCTAGGTCAGTGCCGTATAACCTCACCGAGGCCGTGCACGGGGTCCTGGAGGATTTTCGTTCCACTGCAGCCCATCAACTTGATTTGGAAATAGACAGCTATTCTCTCAACATTGAACCAGGTAAAAGAATCCAAAAGAGAAACTTACGGGGATTTTTTTGTTCATTTTGTTTTGTTTTGGTTTTGAGCATTCTGTTCAACTGTGAAACCACAAAAAAATTAAATTTAAATCACACTTGATAAAACAGCCTTTGAGAAGCTACAGATCCCATTATCAGAAAGAGTCCTAAGACATGCAGGTTAAATTTTTCCACATCACAAAGCAAAGAACAAATGTACTTCTTACTTCACAGAGAGCTTTAATTTCCTTTCTGAATAAAACTTTTGCTGTACTTTAGTTGTTTTTTTTTTTTTTTTTTTTTAAATGTCGCCCACAATCAAGCTAAGTTACATTCTGCTAGAAGTCAAAAGCACTTTCTTGGTGAACTGCAACAATCTGGGGGTTCCTACCTCAGAAACCTTCTAGTCACAGTGAGCTGTCAGAACAGCCTCTTCATAACATAATTCAGGAAGAAACTGAGATAGCATCCTGAGGAAAGAAAAATAATCAGATCAGAATTCAAACTTAGAGAAAGTCACTTCGCCATCACCAAAGAAAGGAGAAAMTCATTCCCTTTCCCAGTTGTGCACCCTACATCAGCCTCCATGTGTAGGAAAAAAAAAAACAAATAAGAGTTAGTGGAGGAGACAACTCTTAAAGATAATGGGAAGCAAACCTCTGCTCCAGTGATTAAAGCAGAATGTATGTACCAATATAACTTGCTGTGCCCAAATAGGAACTGTTTTCACCATTAGTTTCAGAATTCTGGTTTTTAAACAACTAAAGGAAGTTTTTGTAAATTCCCTGGAGGGCAAGAGGGGAGGGYTACAGACCTACTGCCAAAGCAACCTTCCAGGCAGGTTTGCAACAGAGTCTCTTAATTGGCTATGAATTAGTGAAGTGAATCTTTTAACACCTTTCTCTGGCACTCTCTAGACTAACAATGAAAGCAAAGGGGAAAAAGGCCTAGGGCAAAAATGCCATCCAGAGGGCTCCAAAGGAAACATTTATCTTTGACACAGAAGGGTTTTGAGAATTTAAAAAATTTTTCCTTCAGTACCTTTGTAAACAGGATCATCAAAAAGACAGGACGCCCTTAGGCACTGAGCCTGGGAGTAGTAACCCCACGCAGGAGCAGCTAAGTGAGCCCTTTGGACTTCTTCAGAAATCAAAAGACCTCCTAAATGCTGGTGAGAGGCTGCTTCCTTCCCTGAAAGTTAATGTAGAACTGAGAAGGAACCAGAGGGTCCCTGCAATTAAGATCAGGAAATTAATCTCTCCTGTCACTCAGTAAAGATCAGGAAGTATGTGGGGAGAACCTGGAGAGCGTAAGAGAGGAGAGAAACTAAACCCCTCCTTTCCTCCCTCCCTCAGAGAGCTGACTGTTTACTAAGAGACCATCCAGTAACACAAGAAGGTCAATGCAAGCCAAGGTCAATTCATAGCCTAGGCGAGAGCCCCCAGCCTCTACCAGTAGGGACAGGCTTAACTGACCAGTATGTGTCAGTTAAGAGGCTGTATAACCAATGTGATCCTGAAATCTGTACACGTGGAAAAATAAGAATTCATACCCCATTTGAATCAAATGTATGATATGTCAAGATCAATGTACTGTCTTGAGCAACCAATAAAAAAAAAAAAAAAAGTGCCTCAGAAAGAGGGTGGGAAGCTGGTAGCACATTGTCAAGTCTGCAAAAGAGACACTGGTGATATTGAAAGAAAGTATAGAATAATAATGGCTTTCGGGGATCCACAGCCCTGAATGGGAGACTGTGTACTAGGAGCAATATCCAAGTTCCACAAGTGGAAAATGGAGATCATACAGTTTTGAGGATTAACCAAAAGAATATTTATAATCCTTAGCATGGTAGCTCATTTCTACCTTGTCCTTCCCACTCATTGTTGACCGAAAGGAAAACTTTTGGGTACAGTTTGGCACAACAGCTTCTCACCTATGCATAACCTAGCATAAATAGGAATCTTTTTTCATATTGGATTTGTACATTTTGACTTATATAGAGGAATTCCTAAGTTCATTGTTTATTTTTCACTTTTATAAATCATATTTGACTTCCTAATTCTGCTATCCTCAAATGTTCTGGCAGAAGCATTGCTTATGTCCTAACTGGCTCACCACAGTCATTTCTTGACAGACTTCTTAAATGAATTTATTTTCTCATTCATTCATTATTTTGTGAGTTTTCCGTGTACTAAAACTTTAGGTTCTCTTACTCTATCGGTTTCTAGTAAGGAAAAAAGTATGAACTACCATTTCACTGAAAAACTGAGTGTAAAGTTTCAGTGGTTTTGCAGAGTCTCCCTTACAGATACTGTGAGTGATCATTCAACCATTCAGTACATTGCCTGTCAGATTCATTGCTGTACCTGGCTTTAGTATGGCTCCATTTCTGGAAGTTTCTGAGCTGATCAATTTCAAATTGAGCTGCCTCTGGAAAGCAGGCAGGTCATTTCCCATATTGTCCAGCATGCTCTATGTGTCCCCATATTTCCACCATTAAAAATATAAATTGGGCCTGTGCCCAATGGTATAGTAGGCAAGCCTGGAGGTATTCTTATCTTGGTAGTGCACCATAAGTTTGGCTCCAGCAGGGACTGAAACTCATGTTAGCACCATCTCACTTCTACTGGCTGCTTAGAGGAAAAGCTACATAAAAGAACTATTCACAATAAATTAGTGAAAATAATTTCAGCTCCAACTCTTATATAAATACCTTACCTTATATATAKTATTCTTGCTGGTACTGTAGGTTGCAAATGGTCAAGTTAATTATGACAGCGTTGCAATAATAATCATGATTAACATTTATTAAGCAACTACAATGTGGGACAGGCAAAGGACAAGTGAGAACAGGAATGGGCACTGACCACATGTGCCTTCTCGCTCACAGCTAAGGATCCTGGTTTAGTTATTTCACCAAAGAAGGCAAAAGGTAAATTCCCCTATGGAAACAGCAAGTGGGCACTTGGGCTAATTAATGTATGCAAGCCAGTCCCTGCACCAGGGAACTGCAGAAAAAGGAAAAGAGACATCTTAAAACTAACTGCTGGGAGCAAAACTTTTTTCATTCAAAAAATACTTTTTAATGACCATTTTCTTGGTTTTTTAGTTTTCCTTTATATTTTATTTTGATGAGGCCTGGCAGACTGCACAGGAAAGAATGTAGAAGTAGAAATGATATAAAGTATTCTAGTGCCTTTGGTCCATGGGCAAGCCTATGATGAATGGACGGTGATAGTAAGGACTGAGCAGCTAGCAACAGCTTCGAGGAGCCAGGACACTGGCCGGTCATGCAGCAGTACAAATTTCCATTAGGTAGTTGTAGCTGCTAAGGATATAAAGCCAAAGCATGCAGCAATCAAGTTCACACTGGGACAGACAAAAGCACCCCCTCATTCACCTGTTATTCTTGGCTCCTCCTCCTGTTCACAGCCTTGTTTCAATTCAGGGTAGAGATAGCACCAAAACCCCAAAACTCACCATATTGCTTCTGAACAGAGTTAATTAACTTCTTACTCCAAGCATTTGTACATCTCAGAAAACATCTTGAAAATAACATCTAAAACACTTTTCTTGAAAGAAAGAAAGCCTACACAGTTGCAGTAAAGTATTTCTAGCACCAAAACTTCTGTACAATTTTAGTTTGGGGAAATAAGCATGAAATTACTTGTGTTTGTTTGTTTGTTTGTTTGACGGTGCAGAAGATGGAACCCAGAGCCTCATGCTTGCTAAATAAGTGTGCTACAATTGAGTTACAACCCCAGTCCTGTTTTGATAATAGAAGAAATAGGTATCCAAATTTTAAAGCAAATGAAGAAAAAAATACAAAGATTTTCAATCATTTTCTTCTTTTTTCTTTTTAATCTAGCAATATGATAGCTATTTTGCTCTTAGTTTTTTAGTGTGAATGGCTGATTCAGATTCTCTCCTTTTGGTGGTATATTTGARCATTAGCTGTCATGGTGACTGACAGATAGGCTGATTAAAATGTCCTTCTAGAACAACCAACCAGTGCAGCCAGCTGAACTTGCTGCCTCTCAGGTCACTGGACTCTGAATGAAGATAATTATATCAGGTTCTTGGAGAACAAGGACTCAAATTCCAATTTACACAGCTCTTGGCTCTTTTGCTGGCATGGTCTTTTCAGATATGAACACCTTGGGCTATACTCAGCAGACCCCACCCTCCAGCATGCAGGCATATAGTAAAAAGAGACCTGAGGGGCACTGATAATCAAAATTCCTGGAAATACCAAAAGGTCACTTTAGCAAATATAGGAAACCTCCCTGTTTCAGATTTTGATCTTCTGAGTGTTTGCTTAAACTCATTGATGTTAGTCCAATCTACTGGGGAAATTCTCCTTGAAAGAGAATTAAATGGGAAATCTTCAGAGAGAAAAAGGGCAACTGCTAGCAAAACTGTGTGTCAAAAATAAATACTTTGGTTTGTCTATGGAGAGAATCCCAAGAACTTATCTTCAGAAAATGGAGATGGCATGGTACACTTTTAACCTTTTCCCCGACAGGAGAGCTAAACACCATAGAGAAACCAAGTTACTGGATTTCTCACCCTTTTGCCCTTCCCTTATCACCTTCTTGTGAGAAATAGGAGATCAGAGCCATGCTACACAGAGCAGAGGTCAAGCAAGTTCTCCCACCTCATCTCCAGTATTTCCCCAGCCCCCAGAATCACCTGCCTTTCCCACTCTGCCTCCCCCACCTGTACAAAGAATCACCCATTGCACAGTGTACTATGCCAAACATTTGTTTAGCTTATTAGTCAGAGAATCGTTAGGATAACAGAGCTGGTATAAAGAGGACATAGAAACTGGGATTTTCTACAGCCAGATAACAAAGAGATTGATGAAGTAAGGTTGGTAAATATAAAACAGCACTATCATTGTATTTTATCAATCTTCTATGCATTAACTTCTAGCTTTACAGAGTTGTGAAATGTCTGGACCATAATCAATAGCAAATAGCAAGTCAGAGTTACTGCCTTC